TCTGTATTTTTTTGGGTGATTCTCTTATTTTTTGGAAGAGCAAGAAGCAATCTATTGTGTCTCAATCTTCAACCGAAGTAGAATATCGTGCTATGGCATTCACTAACAAAAAGATTGTTTGGTTACGTTGGTTACTTGCAGATACGGGAGTTTTTCTTTCACATCCCACTCCTATGTATTGTGATAACCAGAGTTCCATTCAGATTGCTTACAACTCGATTTTTCATGAACGAACTAAGCACATTGAGATCGATTGTCACCTTACTCGTCATCATCTCAAGCATGGCACAATTACTTTACCATTTGTTTCTTCTTCTTTGCAGCTTGCAGATTTCTTTACCAAGTCGCATTCTATTTCTCGTTTTCTTTTTCTAGTTGGCAAACTCTCGATGCTTGTAACTGTTGCATCGTGAGTTTGAGGGAAGATGTTAAGAAATATATGATTATTTTGTTTTTATTATTTATTAAGGGTAGAATAGTCTTTTAAGTTTCCTTTATTTTAGACTATGTATAGTCTCTTTGTATCTAAATTTTTATTATTCAATTACATTATGCAGAATCAATAAAACCCTAGCCTCTCTTTCTTTTCTCTCTGGATTGTTTAACATCTACTACAAAATAGATACTGGTCTTGATCATTACGATTCTATCGAGTTGTAGAAGTATTTTGTCGAGTGCCTTAAATAAATAATAATAATAGGCAAGTATACCTCACGTGAGGCTTGTTTGTGAAAAAAAATTTTAAGAAATAATTTTTTCTCACAACGTTTTTTATGATACCACAACTTTTCTTCAGTTTTTTTTCCACTTCTTAAAAACACATTCTTAAAAATCAATTTTACCTGAAAATTTTGTGTCAAACAAGCTTTTATTCAATTATGAATTGATTTGCAATTTTTGGAACGGAACAACCTCAAAAGTTTTTGGTTCAAATAGTGCAGATTTATATATCTTGAGCACTTTTTATTATTTATTTACCATTTCAATTTGATATTATTTAATTTATGTATTATTATCCAATGTGTTATCAAAATCTTGACGACTTTAGACCATTCAGTAATGATCAAAGGGTGAAAATAATAAATTCTTTATTATCCAACTGTATAGCTAGAACAAAGAAAGCATGAAGCAACTAATTAGTAACAGGATCAAGAAAATCCTTGTGAATGTAAATTATTTGCTAAAGGTGTTTAGAAGCACCTTTTTTGAGAAGGATACAAGTGGAACAATCCACTGACTACTAAGTACTAGTTATTGAATTTCAAATGGCGATGGACAACCTTGGATTTCTTTGAACTAGGGGGATCATCCTTAGAATTAGAGTCAGAGTCATGCGCGCGTCGACGTTTTCCCACACTTTTAGGTGGTGTATAGCTCTTATAAGCAGCAGCAGCATTAAATCCCATTTCAGCAGTAGCAGCAGCAGCAGTAGTTTCTATAACAGGTGTCAAGTTTGCACGTACATTAAAACGTTTTGCACAACTTGGACACTTGAGTTCCAATGTCACTGGTTTGACGTCTAATGTTGGACTGCTATTGGTTACATGCGGCTGCCAATCAGAACTGGGTCCTATATTTTCAAACCCCGCAAAGGGATCTTCAGGATTACTCATAAAACTATCCTATATTTGTACAAAGTATATGAATTAGGTGAACAGAATCTTGATATGCATATATATGGTAATGCAGAAAATTTAGTCATACCTGATCTCTATATATTCTGATCAAAGCAGGGGAGCTGTACGCAGAGAATTAAGACAACAATTGATCATTGTAATGCTAGCTTGGTTGCAGTGGCCTTTATAATACATGTACATGTGAATATGATATTAAATTCTTATAAATTGTTGACTTTCTAGATTACTAGCAATTAGGGTTAAACATTACTGAGCGCTTGTGCTCATCTTATGGTAAATACCATTAATGTATTATATAAATTCATTGGTGGGCGATGCTCATTAAATCATTTTCCCACTACAACAAAAATAGCTTTTTACGGCATATGTTTACGGCATGCAATTGACGCTTACCGTAAAAAGAGACTTTTTTACGGCTTGCAAAAAATGTCTGCCGTGAATGATTAATTGCATAAAGTATTTACGGCATGCATTTGTGCACGCCGTTTTTTCTTAAAACTAAATTATTTATGATGTGCAATTGACGCTTGCCGTAAAAAAAAAGAACAGTTGCTGAAGGAAAATTTACAAAGAGAGGTAACTGAAGCTTAATTTACTAAGCACTCGAATATTGCATCATAAGTCTTGCAATTGGCTTAATTTATTCTTCACAGTATTTTCTATTTTTCATATTATGTTTAACCTTTATTTTGTTCTTTTATTATATCAAATAGACTTTGACTTCTGCAGGCTAGCCAAGAAGATAAAATAACAAAATTACGAAATGAAAAGGACGCATGCATACAGAAAGAGGCAATGTCACTTTAACTTTTAAGAGAAAGTGGCATTCAATAGAATGATTTTGCACATGTGATTAATTTCTTAACGTGCTTTTCTTTTCTCATACTTGTAAAAACAATTTTGTATTTGGGTAGCAATTTTTTACTATATGGCTGATACACGGAAGAGAAACTTGTATACTTAGGAAATATTTAAAAATAGTATAAATATGGAATTTAGGCGTCTTAAACATTTAGTACAAGAGGAAAATTTCCAGGCTGATCTATTGAGGAAATTTCCAGACCTCCTCTATTGATCTTTTTTAAACCTTTTAGGACTTGAACCATATGTTAGATTGGAAACCACTGAATATTGATTCAACCTTAATAATTAATTTCTTTCATTTGAACTCCACACAATGAAAATTGTCTTCTTTTTCAAAGATTTCTCCTGTTATTTGTTGTCATGTAATTCAAGTGGACATCACACATGCCATGATGGAGCTTTGCAATGGGTTGTCTTTATGTGTTGAAGTTTTATGGCTTTATATGTTAGTATTCAAGCCTTACGCCTTTTTTTTGAAAGTATGGTCTTTATAGATGCATTTTCGTTAGAGTTCGTATGCTAATCAAAATCCCTCGAAAGTTTTCCTAACAATATAGTCAAGTAATTACTTGTCATATGTACTACGATGATTAGATAAAAATTAATATGTTTCTTGATATGCTTTTGATTTACATGCACACTCTAAGTTTATTAACCATACCCTTATTATTTCTATGGTGTGCGAGGAGCTACTATTTGTGGGATAGCTAAATTGTCGGTCGAAGAAGTTAACTTTAATATGGTCCAATCATTTTTTTTTTATTTTTTTTTATTTTTGAAGTGGTAGCCTTTTGAAAATTGTTGAGATGAACTTTACATTGATATACTGTATTGAACCGTATTCAATATTTTTATTTATCGAAACAATTTACGGATTAATTTTGTTTTGTTATTATTATAGGTTTGTTGGTAATCAAATAAATAAATAATTTTAAAAAAATTAAATTGATATTTACGGCATGCATAAGCATGTCATAAATTGCAAAACATTTTACGGCATGCTTTCACTGAACGCCTTAAAAGGCATTAAAAAGTTTGATACTTTTTTACGGCGTACATAGGTATGCTTTAAATTGCACTTTTTACAACGTGCAACTGAACGCCGTAAAAAAAATTTACGGCGTTCTATAGATGGTGTACTCTGCACACCGTAAAGAGGTTTTTATGGCATGCATTGCACGCCGTAAAAAGTACATTTTGTTGCAGTGTCCGTAGGGTTAACATTCTATAGTAATTAAATTATGTTCACTATGAAACTCGAGAAATTGATGTGAAGAACACATCTAAGAAACTTAATTAATATAGTTGAAGTCATAAATTTTACTTGCGTTTTTCTCTTAGTATATCCCTATATTGAATAATAGTAGTTTATATTTGTTGATAATAAGATAAATTAAATAAGAGCATATTAAAAAAAAAAATCAAGAAATTAACTATACACTCAACAAGTGATCTATAATTTGGGTCAAATGGAAATAGATAGTAAATCCATATTTATGAAATAGAGGAAGTAGATGAAAAAAAAAAACCCATGACCTTTAAATAAGTTAGAGAGCGAAAACCTCACAGTTTTCATACGGACAATTTCGTATTTCAAAATGAATAATGCTACATTGTGGGATTCATATCTTTGTGTACATTTAGTTGGAGTTCA